TTCAAGAAAATGTTTCTTACCTTGGGAAGGTTATGTAGATTATGATTAGGAAGAGACATAAGAGAGCTCCTGTCTTTCTGATAGTGTTCATTTGCTTGATTTCCAATGGTAGTTGCAAGGATGTGTTTGTTTTGTGAAAATTAATTTAGCTATAACTATGAATTATGCCCTTTTTCTATGAATATAATTAAATAAAAAAGTCAAATTGCAAAATTAAAACTTTCAGATTGCTGAAAGTAATGAAATGGTGACATTTCTGTTGTTACAACCAAAAAAGGACACATCAGTTATGAGAATTTTTATAAACCTGAAACCTAGGCTATTTTGCATTTTAGAACTGCATGTTACTCAGTGTTTTGTTGTTTCTTATGAAAAGTGCCAGAGCTGTATGAGTAAATACATCTGTCACTACTTCAAATGATTCTGCATATTGATCTAGGTTTGAACCTGCTTTTGTTTTATTAAACCATTTCATGGAATCTTGAGTAAATCATGTATTAGGATGAGTTTTTTTAAAGTTGTGACATACCGTAAGTAGTATTGCTACTGCTCTTATCTCTTTTCTTCCCTGTACAATGTAAGCTCCTTAATGACAGATTTCTACTTCATATTTTTGTTCATTGCTTTATCCCCAGCTTCTAAATCAGTTCTTAAGTATATAGTATGCTCTTAGTGAATAAATCTTGAATGAATAAATGAGAAATATTTTTTATGTCAGGGCACATGTCACTTATTCAGGATTTCCAGCTGAGGATGGGAAGCATCTTTATCTCATTCATTCTTAAATCTCTAGTGTCCAGTAACATACCCGGTGTACAGCAGTGCTCCAGTAAGTCATTGTCAAATGAATAAACTGGAAGGGTTCCCTGGAGAACCATTTACGGGCCATGAGTTAACCCTGGTTTAGTAGAAGGTTGACTGGGTTAACACAGCATTAACGAGATATAGATACAGGCATTACCATCATGGATGTAGGGGGAAGCAAGAAGAGTGATCTAAATGGAGGGTGCAGTGGCAGTTAAGGAGTGATGGAACATGGCGCCATTTAGGATTATGGGAGCAAATTGTGGAGGGCTTTGGAATAATAATATTCACTGAGCTTGTGTTGTGTATTGTGTGCAATATTTAAGTGCGCTACATGAATTAACCTAGTTAAAATCCCTGCAGTTTAGAAAGATGGATACCAGTATTATCCTAGTGTTACAGAAAAGGAAACAGGCCCAAAGCAATGAACTTGCTCAAGGTTGCACAGGTACTGAAGATACACCTGCAGCTTGAGTATTACAATTTACAAACCTCCATTCTCAACTGTTAAGATCAAGTTCTAGGCAAGGCACTTTAAACATACTAGTGGTCTGTCTTAAGAACATGGAACGTTCTTGGGTAGATGCTACCGATTGTGAATATCTTAGTTGGTTAAATATTTTCATAGCCAAAACAAGTGAGACTTTTTAGATGGTCTCTCTCTCTTACCTTCTCTGTCTCTTCTGTCTCTCCCCTCTCATTTTCTCTCCCCTCTGTCTCTCACTCCCTCTCTCTCCTCTTTCCCCGCCTCTGCCTGTCTTCTGTCACTCTTCTCTCTTCCCCCACTCTCTCCCCACCCCTTGCCTCTCTGTCTCCCTCTCTTTCTGTCTCCCTGCTCCCCTGCCCTCCTGCCCTGCTGGCCCTCGCAAGATGTACATGCTGGAGTGCAGTGGCATGATTTTAGCTCACTGCAACCTTCACCTCCTGGGCTCAGGTAGTTCTCCTACCTCATCCTCAGACTACAGGTGCATGCCACCAGGCCTGACTAATTTTTGTATTTTTTTATGGAGGCGAGGATTTGCCATGTTAGCCTGGCTGGTCTCAAACTCCTAGGTTCAAGTGATCCTCTTGCCTCAGCCTCCCATAGTGCTGGAATTACAGGTGCGGTGGCTTAGCCAGTATACCTGTTTTCTTCACTTTATTTCTAAGTCTCTGACTTCTGTGTCTCAGAGTCCTGGGCAGCTGTTCATGAACCAGCTGATGGAATTCTTTCCTATGCTTTCTTTTCTTCTCTCACCCTACCTGCTGTTCTAGAACAATTTCATCCATTCCTATGACTATAGTAACAACTGTGTGCTCACAATTCCCAAATCGATAGCTTTTTCTTAGATGTCAGTTACTAAACAGTATGTGTAAGTGTCTCGTAGAAGTCTCACTATCCAACAGTTTTTTGAAGTGAATGTTTTGTAAGCACATTAGAGTCAGTCCTTTTGAAAATGAACTCCAAATCTGTGTTACCTTCTTCCCTTTCACCCTTATTTGCTTCTGTATCTCATTGGGCCATAATACTCTGCTGCTCCAGTCATAAATCACAAACAGTGGGGTTAGTTTTGATTCTCTTTTTTTCTGTCATATTACTCAATCACCAAAACTTAAGGACTCTACATATTAAATATTTGCCTTATATGTCTGCTTCTCTCAATTAACTGTACCATGAAATAGACCATAGTAGTCTCTCATGAGTATTTAGGTGTCAGCCTCCAAACTGATTTCTCCAGTCTATTTTCCTTTCTGTGATTAGTGCCATCTTTCTGAGATACATACATGACCGTGTGCTTTTGTCATTCAATATTGGAATATCGTGGAATCAATAAAAGGAGGCAAAGAAGGAATGAGCATATAGGTAAAGACAAAACCAGAGATACATACCATAGTTACCGTTGCTGGTTTAGTGACAAGGGTTAGGGCATAACAAGATAAAACTGTATATAACCAAGTGTTTATTAAAAACAAAAGGTAATTTGTTTATACTGTAAATGTTTTTGGTCATAAGATGTATCTTTTCCTGGATTTTTTTTTAAGACAGGGTCTTGCTCTGTTGCCAAAGCTGGAATCCAGTGGTATGATCATGGCTCACTGCAGCCTTGACCTCCCACCTCAAATGATCTTCTCACCTCAGCCACCTCAGTAGCTGAGACTACAGGTGCAAATTACCATGCCTGGCAAATTTTTGTGATTTTTGTAGATACGGGATTTTGCCATGTTGCCCAGGCTGGTCTCAAACTCTTGAGCTCAAGCGATCCACCTGCCTCAGCCTCCCAAAGTACTGAGATTACAGGCATGAGCCACTGTCCCTGGCCTGCAGTTTTTTTTTTAAGGGCTCAAGGTCTTATTATGTTGCCCAGGCTGGATCTGAAATCCTAGGATCCTCCCATCTCAGTCTTCTGAGTAGCTGAGACTATAGGCACATGCTACTGTGTCTAACTCCTTTTTCTGGATTCTAAAATATACTCTGCCTAAAATACTGCATCTGTAGCATAAATAATCAACTTCAATATACTCTCAAATTCACTGATACAATATTCCTATAAATTAAATATAGACTTTATTTCTCGCACATAACAATTGCAAATTTTTTTTATTTCAAATTTTATTCTTAGACTTCTAGATTACTTCAGATTACTTAATTTGTCCACTTAATTCTTTGACTATGCTTCCCCCCACCCTTTTTTAAAATCTTACTTTAGGTGCATACTATATCTGGCATTTCTCCCGATGTTATCCCTTTCTCCCCACCCACCGCTGTCTCTCCCCTACCTCCCACCAACTGCCCCCAGGGTGTGATGCTCCTCTGCCTGAGTCCACAAGTTCTCATTGTTCACCACCTACCTATGAGTGAGAACATGCAGCGTTTGGCTTTCTGTTCTTGTGTCAATTAACAATTTCAAATTTTTAATTTATGTTTTTAGATGGTGAATCACTCTCTGTGGTCACTTTGGGCCTGGGCCTAATATTCTAGTGTCTTTACCAAGTTTAACTGAAAATATTTTGTAAAATCTTTACTCAGAAAATATTCCAACCTAGGCTTAAGTCTGTAAGTCAAATCTGGCTTTAAACAAAGCTGAGTTAATTTCAGAGTTATTCTCAAGAAAGTCAGAAAAGGATTCAGATTAACCTCTCTAAAGCTATTTTATCATAGTCTGTTGAAACACTTTGGCTCCCAAGCAGAGAACAGAATCTAAATTTATATTCTTGATTTAGGTATTGTTTCTTATGTGCCCCATCTTCTTCCCTTTTCCTCCCTTAAAAATTATGCCAACCTAGAATATTTCGACCCTCAGTCATGTGTTGCTCATTCTTGCCTTTGGTGTTTTTGTTTGTTTTTTGGTTTTTGGTTTTTTTGGGTGGTACAAATGCCTCTGAGAGCCAGGAAGCTGAAGTAAAGAGTGATTGGGCAAGGTATACGACAGCAGGAAGTATAGGTACTGTTTCAACCTAGAAAACATTTAATCTAAAGGAGTCCCGGTTCGTTAATGTAAAAATATTTTGTGATTTAAACAAAAACTTACACATAAGTTACACTGATTGAAGTGTGACTTCTGGTTTATATTTTCTCTCCCACCCTCCCTGCAATGCCTTGGATCTTCAATATTAGTTTTCCAAATACAGCTTTTTCTGATATATCCAGCAGGTATATAATCTCTGAGTTATTCCTGGCTGTGTCTTTTTGTGATTTCTTCCATCTCTAAACATCTTCTGAATTTACTATGTCACACATTTTGCTGAAAATATTTAGGTACTTATGGGGATCTAAGTACTGTAATCTAAGAATGTAGGCTTTTGGTTATCCAGACTAATAGAAGAATGATGTTTAGAGGATATAGAAAATGATTATCGTGTCCTTTAAAATATCTCTAAAACATCAAGTGTCTCATCTGTGCTTTTGACTGGCTCAGTTGAGCACATAATATCAGATTGTCTGTCACCATGCCAGATGCTTCACATATGTTATCCAATGTAATCATTAACACATTTCTTTAACAGAGCTGGCCTCCCAATTTTGTAGATACGGAATCTGATGCAGGGAGAATAAGCAACTTACTCAAGGTCCTATAGTTAGTAAGTGAAATTTTTTTAAATGGGTGAGGTGATAAATGATTTTTACAAGTTAGTTTCATCATGACCATTGTGTTTTAGAAACGCATTATTCTGTATTCTCTGGTTTACATATCGAAACATTGTACCCTGTTTTTCAGTGTATAGTCTTTGCTATGACTTCTGGCCAGATGTGGAACCATATCCGTGGACCTCCATATGCTCATAAGAACCCACACAATGGACAAGTGGTAAGTGTACTTTGTAAGCATCAATATTCTGAAGTTTAATACAGCTTAATATAGGAATGAGAAATTATGTTTAGTATTTAGGAAAAGATCATTTGTTAGTCAAAATATATATTCTTTCTCACTACCTATGTACACATTTGTGTGTGTACACACACAATTTCTTTTTAGGATGAGCACTGCTTTAGTGTTGATTTAAAAAATTAGTATCAACCATATCAAGTTACATGCCTACACTATTTTTTCATGTTTATCTATTGCTGTGGCAATACTATGTATCACCACTAGAGGAAATTGGAACAGTCGATATCCAGTGTCCTTCCCATCCATGGTAAATTTAATTTTCTTCAGAAGGGATTAATTAAGACATTGTTAACAACTCTGGCAGTCATTGTATTAGAGTGTTAGAAACTCTTTGCCACAGAATTAAAAGTGAAATTGATATGTTACATTAGTAGCAGAGTTCATGTTAGTAACTGCCACTGAATTCACATAACTGAGTTTGTTGCCTCCTTTTTACATTTGGTGAGTAGGAAATACTGTGATAAATCAACATAGAAACATACTCTCTTTGAGACAATATTAGGGTGGTAAAAATTAACAGTTTCTAATTTTTTTCTCTAACTTTTTCTGTTTTTTTTTTTAAACGTACGTATTTTGAGAGAATAATATAAATGGCATGCCTTCTTGTACCCATCACTAGACTTTTTCAGTTCTTACATTCTTGTTTTATCTATTCTCTCCTGTTTTTTTAATCTGGTAATAATAAAATAATTACTATTATTACTATATAATAATCAAGTTGGTCTCATATTTTTGGGAACATTTTCACATTTCTCCTGTAGATGGAGGACAAGGATATGAAATCAGAGCTAGCCTCTTTGAATAAGTGGTTGCCATAATAAATTAGACATAGTTTTTACAACATGTATATGTTTTTGAAATATGGCATTATTTAGAAAGAACAGTACTTTCAGAAAGTTTTCAATATTCAAAATTCAGTTATACAAAGAAAAATAATTTGAAATAATTTTAGAGCAATAAATTATTCCCTTACCTTTAATTTTTCACACAAACGGTGGCCTCTCAACAAGACCTTTCCTGACCACACTAAAATTAGCCCCTTTTTCTCCTCCTCCTCCCCGGTCCCCATACTATCTCTCCCTCTCCTGTTTTTTTTTTTTTTCCATAGTACTTGTCACCTTAACTATATGCTACATAATTTACTTATGTTATTTTTTCCATCCGCTTTTTGCCATGACCCCAGTAATATATAAGCATCTGAAAGAATGGATTTTATCCATTTTTGTCACTGATACACTTCTGTTACATAAAGAAGGGCCTGATGCAAATATTTCATCACTGTTGTGTTAATGCCAGTTAACATTGTAAATTTAGGAAATCTCATAAATTTTTGATACTGCCTTTTAATATTCTTCTTAGAGTATTCCTTAGGTATAAAACATATTAAGGCATTGTTTTTCATTATTTTTTATGGTTTATTAAAGTATATAAAAAATTGTTCAACATTCTTACGGAATGCTTTAACATATTATAATCTTTTTTGGGAGGGTATCAGACTTTTTTTTGTTTGTTTGGTAGAACCTTTATATTAGGTTAGCAGATACCTGTGCAGGTTTGTTACTTTGGTACATTGCATGATAAAGGTTTGGAGCTTGAATGATCTCATCACCCAGTTACTGAGTATAGAACAAATTAGTAGTTTTTCAGCCTTTTCCTCCTCCTCTCTCTAATAGCCTGCAGTGTCTATTGTTCACATCTTTATGTCCATGTGTATCCAATGTTTAGCTCCTACTTTTAAGTAAGAACGTGCATTACTGGATTTTCTGTTTCTGTTAATTTGCTTTGGATAATGGCCTTCAGCTGCATCCATATTGCTACAGAGGACATGAGTTCATTCTTTTTATGGCTGTGTACTATTTCTTGTTGTTGTGTATGTACCACATTTTCTTTCTTTACACTATGATAGACACCTCGGTTGGTGCTATGTCTTTGCTATTGAGAATAGTGCTGCAATGAACATACAAATGCATGTGTCATTTTGGTAGAACAATTTATTTTCTTTTGGATATATGCCCAGCAATGGGATTGCTGGGTCAAATGGTAGTTCTATTTTAAGTTCTTTGAGACATCTCCATACCGTTTTCCATAATAGCTGTACTGATTTACATTCCCACCAGTAGTGTATGTGTTCCCTTTTCTTTACAGCCTTGCCAGCATCTATTATGTTTTGACTTTTAAAAAATAGCCATTCTGACTCGTGTGAGATGGTATCCCATTGTGGATTTAATTTGCATTTCTCTGATGATTAGTGATGTGCGGAGCTTCTTTCCATATATTTGTTACCCGCTGTCTGTCTTCTTTTGAGAAGTGTCTGTTCATGTACTTGCCTACTTTTTAGTTGGGTTATTTATTTTATGATTGTTGATTTGTTTAAGTTTCTTATAGATTCTGGATAATAGACGTTTGTCAGGTACATAGTTTGCGAATGTTTTCTACCATTCTGTAGGGTGTCTGTTTACTCTTTTGATAGTTGGGTTTTTTTTTTTTTTTGCTGTGCCAAAGCTTTTTAGTTTAATTAGGTCCCACTTGTCAATATTTTACTTTGTTTAGATTGCTTTTGAGATCTTCTCCATAAATGCTTTGTCAAGCTGGGTTTTTGGTAGTGACATTTGGTAGTGTCTAGATACATTTTAGATTGTCTCAATTTTCAGGGCAACTATCCACTACTGGCAGTTAGTGATAGAGGCCAGGAATGCTGCTAAACACCTAAAATACAAAGGCCAGCCTCCTACACCCAATAAATAGTCCAGCCCCAAATATCAGAGTATTGAAAGTGAGAAGCCTAGGTAACCTTAGATATAATTTTGTCTTCCTAGATATTTTACACCCAAGAAAGCTAACCCATCTAGCATATAATCACAATGAGTGATTTTCTTTTTTCCGGAAAAAAAAAAAAAAAAAAAAAAAGAACATTTGAAAAACTGAGATAGCTAGAGCTTAGGGTTATGCGGACCTATATTTAATGTTTAGGATGGTTGTATGTATTGAACGTCATCAGCAAGTATGATTGGTTTGTAAATGTGTGCTTATTTTTAAAGTTTTTAAAAATTTTAATTTTGTTTATAGAGTTAGAGTCTCACTCTGTCACCTTGGCAGAGGTGCTATCATAGCTCACCACAGCCTTGAACTCTTGGCTCAAGTGATCCTCCTGCCTCAGTGTCCCAAGTACCTGGGACTCCAAGTGCATGCCACTGTGCCTGGTCTTTTTTTCCCCAAGAGACAGGGTCTTGCTGTGTTGCCCAGGGTGGTCTTGAACTCCTAGACTCAAGCAGTTCTCCTGCCTTGCCCCCTCAAAGTTCTTGGATTATAGTCCTGAGCCACTGTGCCCATCTGTAAGTGGATTTTCTTTAGTATGCCTTAGCAAATATGATTTTATCTATGACATTTTGTATGCTTAAAAAGAGACATTGATAAGAGACAGTGAAGACTGTGGCCCATAGAGGCATTTTTTTATGCCTCTGTCCTGAAGTGTGCAGACAAATAGAAACAAAAAGAAAACAGGGCAGAGTTCTTCTCCAAACTCTACCTCTTACCAGGTCTGTCATTTTGGGGAAGTTACTTATTCTCTCTGTTCTTCTTCTGTAAAATGAGTTGAATTCTGCTTTTCTTACTTCGTAGTTTTTTGGTAGATAAAATCTGATAATAAATGTATATATTTTTTACATGGCTGAGAATGGCTGTGTCCATGCCCATATCATCACAGACTTGGTAGACAGCAGTCCCATAAAGCAAAGAGGGAAGGTGGTGTCAGACAAAGCCAGGTCCTATGACATGCAGCTACCAGGGCCAAGCCAGCAGTAGGCTCAGTGCAGGGGCAAGAAAGGTAAGGGGTAAGATAGGCAGAGAAGCTGGAGGCACCAAGAAGGGTGCCATGAGTGGGAGGCAGAGAAAGAGAAAGATAGAGACAGCCACTGGTCAGAGAGGCCTGGTCTGCACAAGCACTTGTCAAAGTTGAAAACACACTTGTCTTATTTTGAGTTTCTTTTAGAACAGATCCAAAGACAGTGATTGAAGTGAAAGAAGTTCATACTGGAAGTTAAGGAAACATAGGAGGGGAGTGGGAAACAGTCTAGGAAGGAAAGCAGCCAAAAAAGATGTGTTTATACAGTCAGTGTTATAAGTCACTGAAGCTTAATTCTGCTGTGGGATCTCTGGGAGCCTGTGTAGAACACATATGTCAACCTTCCTACTCAAGTGGTGGGGGAGCTGAGGTATTTATATGCCAGATCTCATCAGCCATTTGCTGAGTACTATTCTCTTGGCAAAGGCATTACTTCTCCAGCACTGGTGGACTTAATTTGTCAAAGAAAGCCAGCCAGTCAAAGAAATGCAGGTGCTGGTGGTGGAAGTCAGGCTGGAACACACTAAGGCATTTTGACAAAGAAATATGGGCAGTGTACTACTCATAGACTGTATTTACTACACCTGATAATAATATGTTAGTTTCTTCTTTTTTAGTAGATTCCAACTGAAAGGAAAAAAATCATGGGAAAAAACACATTTGGTATTGGTTTTATTTCAAGATTTGCTCTGGAAAAAAAAGCCACAAATAAAGTCTCATCAATTAAATATAATTTTATTTTTAAGTCAGTATCATATGTCTTGTAAACAATTCTTCAGAGAAAAGTATAAAAATGTATGCATATTTAAGAACATCTATCTCTATAAGAAGTTTTATCTTTATTTTACATTATATTTATTGTACTTTAGGTTCTGGGGTACCTGTGCAGATCATGCAGGATTGTTGTGTAGGTACATATATGGCAAGGTGGTTTGCTGCCTCCATACCCCTGTCACCTATATCTGGCATTTCTCCCCACATTACCCATCCCTACCCTCCTCACTCCCTGCTGTCCATCCCCTATCCCCCACTGACAGACCCCAGTGTGTGATGCTTCCCTCCCTGTTTCCCCATGTTC